TTCATTTGCTCAAAATTAGACTAAAAATTTCAAAATGGTTTTTCTCAACACTCGGATAACTTTTTAACTTTTTTAAAGAAGTTTGAATCACGACTGAAAGGCTTCAACATTTATCACCCGACCCATTCCGATGATTGTTTTTGGTACCTGGTTTTGCGTGTGATACGAAAAAAAAACGAAAAAGAGAAAAAAAAATACATCAGAATTCAATGGTCGAAAACGATAGATGGCGTGCCTTGTATGAAGTAAAAGACATTTTTTGATAAAAAAAACGACGCGGACACTCACATCCTTATGAATGAATTTTTTTGGTGCTCATTTGTATATTCTCAATCTGATTTTGCTTTAAAATTCTTGAGTCTATACAAGAACATAAAAACAGCTATCAATTAAACGACCATTATTTTTAGCGACGTGTCTAACATAACAGAACGCTGAGCGAGTAAAATTCTGATTTACCTACTAATTTGATGTTTTACTTCTCAATGTGATTTCAAAAAAGATTCTGGGATGGCAATTACAAATGAGGTTTAATCTCAAATCTGTTTGGAGACTTTTTTTACCGTTTCAGTTTTTAAATTGTACAGTTTTTCGATGGCAGCAATGATTCAAATCATTTGTCAATTTTAGCAACTGCGTGTTTCTGTGCGTCCAACTAAGATTGTTAGACCATTGGCCTTCAAAGCAAAGTTGCCTTCTATTGAAATTTCTCATATATGATGAACTTCAGATCACATTGACCATTAATGAGTCATGTACACACTCGGCCATCCCCTGTGCTCCCAATCAGCCTCCCTCTTAAAAATAACCCAGTTTTTGATCTGTCGCCAGTTCAATGCACTGCTATACATCATACTCCAATTTATCAATATGAGCAGGTCCTTTCGTTTTGAAGTTCTCTTTCTCTCCAATCGGAGCCTTGGTCCTTACTTAGCTACTCCAGTATTGATTAGACAAATCTCTTGAGCAAATTGGCAAGTGGCAGCAGAGCCTTTGCTGAAACGACCTAAGATTGCTTTGAATTTTATCTCAGCATTTAGCTTCAAAAAACTCACATTCCCAAAAATGCCGCCCGATGGAAAATACTTTCATCTTTACTTTCATTGTAAACAGCTCTTTCAGTCTTTTAAATCCTTATACTGTAAAATAATTACTTACATTCATTGTTATTTTAAACAAAATACCAAATTTTGTTCATTGTTAGGCAAAATGGGCTGTTTTGAGGTGTTTTTCTTTATTCCGCCCAAATTCGCAAATGTCATTGCCTAAAATCAAAAATCAAAGTAAACTCTTCTTATTGTTTGAGCCTTGGTTATAAAAAAGATTTTTTTGAGGAACAAAAAATGAATCCTGAACATTGCGGTCAGTTTTGAGGAAGTACAGCTTAAAACATTTTGGGCGGAATAAGTAAAAAGGGTGAGTGTACAAAAGATGCCATGCCATAAGAATCCAGGACAAAAGATACCTCGACAAAAAGTCCCACAAGGTAGGGGATCTTTTGTCATGCTACTGTATATACAAAAGGCAAAATGTATCCCTGTCTTAAGAAAAAATAGACTCAACAATAAATTCTTCAGGATAGGAAAAACTGTATTTAGTAGTTGATTTGATCAATTATTGAGTTTTGTGGCAATTCTAACTGAAAATTTTGTTTTTGATGCTGGGCGTAGTGTCGATTTGGAGCGCATTCCGTTGATTTAAAAAGGGTAGTTGGGAAAAATAAGGGACGTCTCCCCTCAAAACTCTCTGTCTTTTCTGCTTTCATCTTCTCCCACTTTTTGAAGCCTCGCCGCCGGAGACCCCAACCCTCTCCCCACCTTAACCCTTCCTTCCCCTATTTTCCCTCCACTTTCGCCCCGTGGTCTGGTTTCTCCACTGCAATGTCGGCAAAGTTCCAGAGTTTTGGATTGTAAAAAGAAAATTTGAGAAAAATCAAAACTAAAAATTCATGTTGTATATCGGGTGCTAGTTCTACACTTTTATTGCTTTGATTAAAAGGGTGACGGAAATTATATGGGTTGGTTTAATTTAAATTTCGATTCATGTACTGTCATAGTGGCCTGGATGTAATTTAGCCGGCCAAATGGGCGCTGTCGACTCAATTTCACCCTAGACCCTCTCTCTCTCCATCTTCACACTTTTTACCCTCTGGTCATGTCATATTTAATGTAGCGTGCACGTATGTGAGTCTCACTATCGATCTGTTTTTGTTGATTGATTACGGAAAGTGTAACTCCATAAAAAACAGGTTAACACAAATACATTTACCTGTGCTGTATCAAGCATCGCAATGTAATTGTGAAAAACAAGAGGATCAATTTTTGTAGTAACTAAACTTAGCTCGTTTTCCACCTTTTTATTGAGCTGTCATTTTTATGTAAAGAATATGTACAATAGTGTACTTTTTCACTTGTTAGTCAACGCAAAAAAGAAAGATTTTTTTTTTGCTTTTTGCTGATCCAGCGATGTGAACAAACTCGCCCGGATGCTTTATCTTCATTAGCTGAAGGCGGGTCAAATCGATCATATTTTCAGTCACTAATCTATATATCAGTCTCCATTTTAACCGCAACTGCTCAAATTTGTCTAATTGATATTTATGCCTCGATTTCTTCATGTTTTTTTTTGCATTTTTTCTTTTTCTGGAAAGTCTAATTAATCTACAGGTTTTTAGCTGTTAAATTGTCGGTTTTGTACAATTATTGAACTTGTTAACAAGGTTGTGAGTGTCTAATTGCGTGGAAAAAATGTTACAAAGCCGTGTGGAAAAACGCCTTGAAATGTAATTGAGCGAAACAAAAAACATCAATGTCAAAAGTTGAAACGCGTGAGGACTGCAATTAACCCCCTGCTATTGAATAACCTCATTAGTAATGGATCATGGTTTTGTTTCAAACTCATTTGACAACAAGAAAAATGAACTCATATATTTTTTGAGATTTTTTATATCCATTTCAAGAAAATTGTTTTCGATTTTGAATCCAAAAAAGGAGGAGTCTTAAAGGTTTGTTTTTGGATTGAGAGTCAATCAAAAAGTTTGAATCGCTGGCACAACAGACGACTTCGGCAGAATTATTGCAATTTTTATCAATTTTTGCACCACATTTTGAAGAAAGAATGGAATATTTTCAATACACGGTTTATGTTTTTTTGTATGACAAGGTTTTACATTTGATTTTCTTTCAGTTACAGACAACATTTGTTGGAGAGATTCTGAAGTTGGAAAATATTTTCAGAAGCGAAGTTGCAAACGTTGCTATATGTGCATTTTTAAAGCACTCTCTGTTTTTTATGAAATTTCCATAATTGAATTGTTTCGTCCGTTCGGTTCATCAAAGGCAGTTTTAGATGTGCTCTTCAGCTATTCAATTAGCAATGGAAGTCCTTTTCTTTTCATGTTTCGGATTGCCCCCTCCGTTTATAACTATGTTTCCTCCTTTTATTCCTGATCCTCGAGTTGACATGCGATACGTGAGCTGGTTCCAAATTAAAAGGATGTACCAGATGAAAAAATATGTGAACTAAAAATAAAAAAAAAAAAATATGTGAACTAAATAGGTTTCTAAATTCCGATCTATACAATAGAATCTCAATCCGAAAACTTGCCGGCATCACCGGCATCACGCACTTAAACTTATGAAGATAAAATTTCTAATATACTTCGACGTCTTTAAAATTAGTAAACTTTTTGAGCCCAATCGACCTTTCTCTATGAAATTTGCATGTTTCCAAATGTTTCTCAAAAATTTTAGTGACCCGTGCTATTTGTAAAAGGGCACGGCATAATGTTTTTCGTAGTTCATTAAAACCTTTTTGGTTAAACAGCTCGTGATTTAATCATATTCAAACATCATACTATGCGATCATTGCAGCATTTCGCAAGACTCATGATCGGTAGGTCGAGAAAATATAACTTCCTTTGTCTTTGATGACCAAAATCAAATATTTCAATTTCCCGATACCAGCACATATTTATTTGTTAGCTTCTCTTAAGACTGTCTGATCAAAACTCCGACAGAGCAAACTGAAATCAAACGAAGACTAACAACGCCCCGAAACATTTCGCACACAGTTTTACCCTTGGTATACTGTACAGTTGGTGTCATTGTACAGACGAATGAATGATACACTCAAACCCATTGGGACTCAAAACTAACTAAGCAACACCCTACTGATTTGGAAAGCGCAACTTCAAAGGAGCACCGAGTAAATAATCGGTTGATAATTAGACCACTAATCCCTAAAGTGATTTCTAATATGGACTCTAACCAATGGCAGCCTGTGCTAAATTTGAATGGCCTAACCAGAAATAACTAACTAATCTAGCCGACTAATATCATTGCATTATCAGATCCGATATCTCTTTCAAGTAAGCTGGAACGCTTTTATTGCTCTATCATTTGACAAGAGTCGGGCTGTAATTTCAAATTTTGAACATGTTCGTGTCATTTCAGCAGAATTTGAGACGGTGCAATTTCTGTAAAATAGAAAAATTGATTACATAATCCACCATTTTGACTTAGAATCATGTTCACGTACCTATTAATTTACTTTTGTGTTATCGTATGTTCTACAAGGTATCCATAACGCCATGGATCTTATCTGTCATTTTGTCAAATAACCAGTGGGAACCCGGAACTCAGATTTAGTCCTGATTTGTAAACAGTCCCAGTTTTCCCAAATTATACCTAAATGACTTAATATTTTTTGGAAACTTAGATACCATAGTCTCAACAATCTTAACTGAAATCTTTTTGCTGAAACTGCTTATTTTTTTTTTAGTAAATATTGCACTTTCTTAAATTCGGATGAGTTACAACTCGGCTTTTACAATTTTTTCGTCCGAAATGACGACGACTATTTCCCATATTGTTTCCCTCAGAACACTGAGTTGCTCAACCATTTGTCCAGTAAGTCAGGCGTTATTAGTACTTCCGCATTTTTCTTAAATTTTATTAAGCTTCAGTTATTCATGTTTTTATTGTGTTTTACTGTTTTAGCAAAGCATGGCTTCACAACATCACCGTGCAAACAACATCAAATCTTCGAAACAGTCACTTACTAATTTGGAAAGCGCTCCCAGAAAACAAAACAATTTCAAACCATCTTTTCAGAACCAATTCTCTTTAGCCGAAGCAAGCGTAGACCAACCGAATGGATACGACGGCGATCCACACCCAAACGGGTTTGACTCGAAAAATCTAAAGAGCACAAGCAACAATGAACAGTTTGTAACTGGAACCCAAAGTCATCTTCAGAACCATCAGAATCATAGGAGCTACAACACGTCAGCAAATCATCAGCAGTTCGCACCGGGTCAAACTCAAGGTCAAGGTCACGCATCTGACATTCAGAGTTCAGTTAAGACTGAGCAAAATTATCTTTTCGTGCAGCCCAACTTCAGTGAGCATTTTGCAGCTGGTCCAATTTTGGACTCTGGTGACGTCAGAGCTAGACTGAGTGGACAAGAAGGTGGAGTGAATGTAGAAGCTGCAGCAGCATCTTTCTTTGCCAAGTGAGTTCACAAATCATTACATCATTTTGTTTTGTTTTGCAATAAATTACAATATTAATACATTTGTCTAATCAACCACCTGAGCATAAAAAAGATTTAAATGGGTCGAATAAATGTTTCAATGCACCGTTATTTTTAGATGTTCATTCAACTCATGACAAATCAATCTGCAAAAAATCACGCTACCGTTATTATCTTAACAAATTCATAATTTGATAATGTTGTTATATAACTCACATGAAATTTCATTGCAATTAAGCAACACGTTATCTAACATTGTCCCAACTCCCCGCAACTTTTCCCTATTTGGGAGTGCCCGCAACAGAATAACAAATGAGTTAAATAATAATTATGTAATTCATCCCTAGCCGGCCGGAGATGACGTAATCTAACTAGACTTTCACCTGTAATGTTAAATAATAATATATGGAGGTAGCCTGCATTTAGAATACATAAATGTGTGGCAATTAGTATTTGCTGGGTTTTTAGAGGCGGCTATTTAATTATTCGTCAAAGACTGGCCAGGATTTTTGCTTCCGGTTAGTTTGTTTGTATATTCGCAACAGCGGAAACTACTGATTTCCATAATTCCAAAATTGACTTGTCAGATCAAGTTGAACCTCAGCATAAATTTTTTTGCCTTAAATAATTACAGCTCAACTTTATGCGAGCCCATTGAATGATAACAAGGATCTTGTTAGCTATATTCTTCCACTTTTGTCACAAGCGTACCAAAATTCGTATATGCTTACCCGTTGAGTTCTTTCATTAAAAGGATGGAGATTCTTTAAATGTAGCATAGATGGGGAGGGGGTCACAAGATACCAACTATATTGAAATGATGCTAAAATTAAAACATCATTTTTTTTATCAATTAAAAGGTAATTAACAATTTTTTTATAAGTCCCAAAGGTATTCTGTTGATCTAATTTAATTATTTTATCAAATTTGCGTCACGTTGACTACCGTCATTTGCAATTATCAGTCGATTATAATTCTTCAAAGGAATGTTTTTACCCGGGCGGTTCTAGTGCAAAAATGACGTAAATTGACTCGCTCTGAAAAAAGTTATTGCAAGAATCTCCAATCTGTTTTTACAAGACTTCTCGTCCTTGTTCACGCGCGAATTATTCGAAATTTTCTAGAATACAAATTCAAATAGTTTTCAAGAAGTAGTTTTTCGAATAGTTCATCTAGTTTTGGACTGGAGTTTGAAAATATGCCTTAAGATGAATCCAATAAATGACAGTTCTTTTGAACAGTTAAACTTGCTTGAGGAATAAGAGAGACAGCTAATTTTTGTAAAAACAATCTATCATTTCCAGCTTCACGTAAGCCTGTCATGCTGGGCTAATTTGGACAACTAGTCGGTGTTTGTGTTATAACCTGAACTGACAACCTTCAAAATATTTCCAGTACTTGTTTATTGATTGGCAGAAGCACTCGACCGAAAACATACAAGGAATGTTTATTTCAAAAGTCGACTTTTTCCAGTCACTTGACAAGAAAACAAAAATCATTCTTGAATTTGCCAGCTTATTGCAGGAGTTTCTAAACACAATCGTCGAAATCCAAAAATGCAAAATTGCTATATATTTTTTTGTTTTTAACGAAATTACTTAAAAGTCGATTTCAAATTAGCTTATTCATTATGGATTTATTACTTTTATTGTGTCATCTTTTTAGTAAGTTGTCGTGTAGTTTTGAAGTTGAAAGCTGAAGTTTGTTTTTATAGAGCAACCCAAAAAGTAGCCAAGCAAGCCAAAACCCGCAACCCCATTTCGACCACTGCTAACCCATCCAGTAACTTCCTTACCAATTCTGGTCACACAATCATGTCTCCTAATCAGACGAAACAGGACAGCGATCACCCCTTCGAAACCAACTTCGGACTGACCTTGACAAAAACACCCCCTTCGGCGCCTCCGGGTTTATTCAGAAATGTAGACCGACGAACATCAACTGCAGGGAAAGTAAGTATTTGAACTATTTTCTGACTCATAAAATCTTTTTGCATCTGTTCTGCACTTCTCTTTTGATTTGTAAGCATTTTGTAAGTCTTGAAAAGTTTACATTTGTCAATGAAATCATTGCATAAAATCTTTTAACTATTATATTGTCTGTCTTGTTTATATTTCGAGTTTTATAATATCTCTTTTTTTCAAATCAGAAGCAGATGAATGATGCCCATTCAGAGAATTTCACACATTTTAAGAGTGATCTAAGAAAAAGTTTGTTCATCGAAGTAGCCGTCACGGAGTTCCTTTTTCTTATTTTAAAACATTTTTAACCTTTATGGCATGATAATTTCGAATACTGCGCTTAGTAAAACTTCTAATTTACAGTTGAAAGTGGCTCTCCGTTTGAGCCCCGAGAACAAGGAGGGAATCGCATCTGCGAACAGCTTTGTCTCGGTGGACGACAGACGCAAACAGATACTCCTCAAGGACCCTAGACCCAACAGCCAAACTACGGAGACCTCAGTCGCTAACACAGTCGCCGCACCTCCCAAAATGTTCGCTTTTGATCACGTGTTCGCCGAAGATGCTGCACAGGTAAAGTTTGAAAAAAAAATGAAAAACTTCTTAAAGTACGGAGCTTTTCGTAGAAAATCAAAAAAAAAATTTGAAAGGACTGAACAAATATTTGAATCAGGGGCGGATTTAGGGGGGGCGTCAGGGATTCGACCCCCTGCCGACCCAAAGGGTCCCCCCTTTGATACTTTTTCAGAAATCCATTTTTGGCCGACCGACCCTAAAATTTTTCTAAAGGTGCCTCTGGCGCCAATATATACTAACTTTGAGAGGGAGCGCGCGCCAAAAAAACGCGATTTTTTTGTCAACATTTTTCAAAAAGTGCCCAAAAACGGCTTTTTTGACTGTTTTTTCAAAACAGTACTTTGGTAGAGCTCGAAAAAAAAAAGAGTCGTCAAAATTTTGGAAAATTTTTTGAAAATCCGCCCCCCCCCCCTCGAGAAAATCCTAGATCCGCCCCTGATTTGAATGGCTTCAGGGGTTTTTCTTCTGAGCAATTAATCTGGAAAAAAATCTGATTTCTAAAAAATTTTCATAGAGCAAGCATATCAAACCAACACAGCAAAGTCAATAAATTATCTATAAACTTCAAAAACTGAAAGAAAACGTGGCAAAACCTTTGCCCTGCCCAAGCGACTTGATATATTAATTTTTTTCAGCTTTCCAAAATATTTTTTTTTAGAAAACAGCCAGATGTGAGACCTGAACACAGCAATTTTTTTATTATTACACATTTCCATTTTATTGGACGTTAATTGTTCAAAATGAGGTCATTGAGTTTCGACCGAGTAATATTAGCTGACAAGTACCCCTCCTTAGCCAATTATGTGGAATAACACTCCTTTATAATCCCATGTTGACCTGTTTTCGATTTCAGGCTGAAATTTGCGCCAGCACCCTTCCGGAAGTGCTCCAGTCAGTAATCAACGGAAATGATGGGTGTGTGTTTGGATTTGGCAACGCAAATTTGGGTAAATTTACATAATTTACGACCTTCTTACCCAATTTATTGCTTAATAAACACATCCTCGGAATACTGAATGAGTCTCGATACAGGATGTATGTAGGTTATATTTACAGAGTTAAATTGGGACTTTATACTGGGACGGTACAGTCATTAAAGAATTGAAAAATGGGAGGGGTGAATTTTCACGGGCTGGGTGGGGACAGGTCTAGTTGCATCTTTTAATTTACCCTGGGGTATTGGAAACACGTGAACACACGTGGCATCTAATTCTATTAGCCCGTCCCCTAAACAGCCCCTTGTATCTGAAAATATCTCAAAATTGATGTATCACTTTCGCGCTAAGTTCGTTCAACTAGCCCGCTAAACCCCTTTAATAGCACAGATTACTGCACGCTTAAAGTCAACAGGTTTTTGAGGCGGGGTCGGCACGCCTTCCTCGAGTTACAGACCATTAACTGGGCTCGACGTTGGTTTAATTTGAAAATCGATTAAGATCTGCATCACTAGCTTATGACCGCCCGAGTAAAAAACGATGATTAGGCCCGGGATTAACTTTCTCAAAACTCCACCCTAAGGCCCGCCTAGTAAAAGCAGCAGGCAATAAATCGATCTCAATCCCAGAAATTGAAAACTCTACTTTTTTCCTTTTTAGTGATCTTGAAACTGTTTTCAAACTTGAAATAAACTTTATTACACAAGTACAATATCTTTTCTCAAGTTTTAGTGGGCTCAATGTTCCATAATTTTTGTCTGTTCTGTTTGCAGGAAAAACTTTCACAATGGTTGGGGAGGACACTTCACTGCAGACGATTGGGGTGGTTCCCTGTGCCATTTCGTGGCTGTTTCGGCTGATAAATGACCAGAAGCAGAAGTCCGGCGCCAAGTTCTCAGTCCGAGTCTCCTCTGTGGAGATCTACGGGAAAGACGAACACGTGAAGGACCTTCTTGCAGACCAAGACACCGGCGGTTAGTTTCGATCATAATCATTGTCACTTTTCTTCCCTTTTATACTTTCATGTAACATTAAATGCTTTGATGTAACATAGAACCTTTTTTAGAAACTTCTAAGACGTATGTGAAAGTTTTAATGTTGGTCGCTTGGAAAAATGTGCGGGTAAAGTAAGAATTGAGACAAAATTTTTCCGATAAAGACTAAAAACAAAAATTAGTATCAGGGAATCATCTCTTTTTTTTCAGTTTTTTGAGAACTCGAAAATTATTGCTTCTCATATTGCCCAAAAACTACTACTAGAGCAACAAAAAACGGACAACTGCTGTGAATTATGCTAACTATTTTTCTTTTTAGGAAGTTTCTTCAGCTCTGCTCATGAGTCGCCGGGCATGCTGCTGCAGCCGAGAGATGCCTCGGGGAACTTCAGTCTTCAGAACCACTCGGAACTCAGAGCAGCATCTGCTGATAAAGCAGCCTTTTACTTGGACGCGGCTTTAGCCGCCAGAACATGCAATATATCCAAAGGTATGCTTATTTTGTTTTGTTTATAGACTGGATTCAGATTCGTACAACTGACCTATTGACTATAGCTTTGATTTGTGGGCTGCGACGTCATATCTGTTCAAAAGATAGTTTAATTTTTGAAAAGTATAAATAATTGTGTTCTCCGAAAATTATTTAAAGAAGAGGGCCATTAATTTGAACTACTTGAATTAGAATCGAGGGTACCTGATTTCCATTCCACATTCCATCAAAATTTCTAATTGACAATGTTGACAAAATCAGCTGAATAACTGATAACGGAATGTCTTTTAATTTAGCCTATCCACGCAATTTAGCATACAATGGTCAGTGTGTGAAAAATATAAGCCACCTTGAAGAAACACAATGTCAGTTTTTATCGAAAATTGATAAGAACTAATTGGTTGTGCCGTTTTCTAATTTTGAAATAAATTTTTTGTTTTCTTTTCAGAATTCACCTCAGATAACGAGTATCAACCTTCGCACATGATATTCACCCTGCATATATATCAATACAGAGTGGACAAAACAAAAAAGACCGGAGGTAAATATAAAATTAAGTCACTCTTTAATTCATCATGAGTCCAATCGTCGCTCAAATTCTAACTTCAACCCACACAATTTTTTGTAAAAGGAAATTTCAATGATTTTGCTTCTAAAACTCTGCAAACATATTGGTCAAATTTTTCTGACAAAAAAATGAATTAGAAAAATTGCAGCGCACTTGAATTTAAAAATTGTTAGAGCTTTTTGATGGACAAGCTTTTGATATGAATTAAAACTCATTTAAACAGAACAATGAGTGTGTTTCAGTTTGTGGTGGACGCAGTCGTCTGCACTTGATAGACCTGGGCAACTGTGAGAGACTAACTTCACTGCCTGGAAGTCCAACAACCCCTGGCTCATTTCTGTCCTACAACGCACTGAGCAATGTACTGTTGGCACTTATGAACGGATCCAGACATGTGCCCCACAGGTATTGATTATAAACATGAGCCAACTGCTTTCTTAAGCCTCGAAAAAGTTTAGAAAACGATTTTTAAATTCGCAAAAGTCAGAAAAAAGCTGCAATTTTTTTTTAAATTGTCGTCAAAGTTTAATGAAAAAAAAACTCGGATCTTACTCGAACAATGAAAAAGTAAGTTTATTTTTCAAAGAGTTTGGAGGCACTTAGCACAGTGGTAAGGCGTTCACTTTGAAATCGTGAGATCGTGTATTGGATCCCATGCCATGGCAATGATAGTGTGTCAGGACAAGCTCTCACTTGACCTCCAGCTTCAGGTCTACCACAACCTGACCAAATTTGGCTGCAATAGTGGTACCACGTGAAAAGTTCTAGACGCAAAAAAAACGACCTTGAGTCGCAAAAAACAGCTTCGCTCAGCAAAATAACACGTCTGGAATGTGGGGAGATAATACAAATGGACTATCCTCGACAGGACTGTTAAGGCCAACTGATAGCTCCTCTGCGATTCGCAGGAACTACAATTATTATTATTATAAAGAGTGTATTTTTGTAGCAAATTTTGTGATTTTTCTAACACTTGTAATTTAGTAATATACGATACGAGACGTGTTTATTGTATTGTAGGGACAGCAAGTTGACTCAGCTGTTGCGTGACATTATGGGTGGGGGCAGTTGCTGTACTGTGATGATAGCACACGTGTCATGTCAGCCTCAGGGCTACGAGGACACTTTAGCCACAGTCCAACTGGCACACAAACTACATCGCACCAAGAAGAGAAAAGCCAAGGCATCATTCGGAGCATCAGGGGTGAGTCCTAAAAACCAATTTCCCAAAATCTCAGTGAAACTCGCGCTAAAAATCTCGCTGCAAAAATCCAAAAAATGTCCAAAAACAAAATTTCAAGGTTGGTTTTTTAAAAAATTTACTGCGGTGCAGAAATTTGGTTGAAATAGGTCCATCCAAATTTTTCAACAGAGCATGAAAAACCACTTTTAACAACTTAGATCTATAATGAATGAGCAAACATTTTCCAAAAGCTCGACTCCCTCGAAAGACCCTCTCCTAGTCATAATTGCAGAGCCGATAATTCTCCTTCAGTTTTTCAATTTGATTTCTTACCAACTTGTGGAACTTAAGTTTTGGACCTGATGTCAAAATAATTTGACAGCTCGAAAGTATGGCATCTTCAAGTATCGACAAACTGTCCATAAGATTCTCAAAAATGTGGCGCATAATGCAGCTGCGTCACGGAGACCTATTAATATGAAATTAATGAAAAATTGACAAACAACAAGTTCCAAAATTTCCATTATAACTCTAAGAGATTTTTTTTCAATTTCACAACTAAAACCGACAGAAATTGTCAATTCTATGTACGCTATTTACAATACTTTCCAGTGTTTCCTTTCCATCTTTTTATTGGCCTCCACAAATCATTTTCAGCTTACATTTTTACTTCACTACTGACATTTTTTATTGTGAAACGTGGATAAAAAATAGTAGAGGGGAGGAGCGTCAGAACGTCTGTCAATATTAGCTCCAGATGCATCAACAAAACGTCGCTTTGCTCTTTTGTCCATCTTCCAAATAGCACCAAAATTGAATCGAAATCTCAATGGCGCGATACAAATTGACGCCATCGTCCACACCATGCAAAAATAATGAATTATTTCTGGAATCTATGAATATTTGATTGAGTTCTAACGAGTGGAAGCTCATCAAAGGAATTTTGAAACGTAGCCGGATTTCGATTTATAGTGGAATTTCAGGCGGCGGAAAACAAATAATGGCAACTTGAAGAATTTCGGAAAAGTTCACATTTTGTGCTTTTGAACTTGATCCACTTGTTTTTTTGTCTTCAAGTTTTACTGAAAGGGCGCTAACTAAAAATGAGAGTTCAAATACTGATGATCTTGATGATGAAAGTTTTTAACCGCGCTTATGTTTTTCTTTGTGCGTACAAAAGCTCGGTTGCCTTTAATTTAGCCAAAATTAGATGCAAGTTGATCTCATGGCCCTAAATATAATTTAGTTTATTATGATGTTTAACTAAACCCTATCATCGGAAACTTTCACATCGGAAGTATTTTCAGCTACGTCACCACAGTTCCGGTGCCGCGTCCTCATCCTCCGAGTACTCGGAGAACTCCAGTTGCGACGAACTCGGCCGACCTCGCCGACGCACTACGACAGGCAACCCAGGGTCGCTCAAGCAGTCCATCCAGGGTACTATGCAGACTGTAAACGAGCAGAGCTACATGAGTTCGGACTACAGTTCGTCAAGTGAGCAGTCGTGCGACACTGTGATTTACAGGGGACCCGATGGAAGGATGTTGAGTGACAACGAACTGACTGACAATGAGCGACCGCCTCAATTTTCGAGGTGTTTTTTCTCATATACTAGGATTATATTGACAGGAAATCAAAACAACCTCTTGCATCATAAACAGTTCAAAATGCAATAAATAATTTCAAACTTTCTCTACATGGCGTCAAAAATTTAATCTGAAGGCTATAAAACGTTGTGTATTGACATTTCAACTCATTAAAGCTTAAGTTATCTCAGAGGAAAATTTATATATATAAAATCAGTGTCGAGATTTGAAACTCGAATTGTTAATCGGAAAATTAAAAAATTCAAACCTCTTTTAATTTTTAGAGTCGTGACCTCAACTAATCCTTCTGCGCTCGAGCGAATTAATCGACCATCTAATATGTTCAAGCCAATAAAAGAATTCTCGGAGGAAAACGACTTGAACAAAAGCGGAGTTGCCAGTCGAACCCATAGTGACTCGGAAGTTTCGACGCGGAATCCATCCTTCAAAATGGCGTCCAAAAACAGATATTCACCCAAGCAATGCTCAACTCCAGCTGAGTCTGACCAGGAGGGCGTTTTTGTCATTTCAAGACCACTGAACGTCGGAGCTCGCAGGTCAAATAGCGTTGGCGAGGACTCAAAATGTGCTTCGATTCCCGAAAACCCTTCAACTGTAACCCCAACAATGAATAATCAGCCCAAATGTGAAAGTAGCGGGTCCATATGCAGTGCATGCAACGTGGCCTATGAGAACTCATTGATGTTCCAAGCCCAATACAATAACAATCAGACGTCTTGCAATTCCGCCAAGTGCAAACATTATAGTACGGCCAGTGACAGCTCTTTCGAAAATCTGCCCGGTATGCTAGGAGTAATGAACAACCAAAATCACTCCACAAGCCCTATTAGAGGTGTTGTTTCCGATACCGAAGTTTTGTATAACGCACCGCGGTCAATTAAAGACGCGGTCGTAAAGCCGAAAACGGGATCCAATCTTAGTTTCATCTCAGAAGAAACTGACCCGGCTGTCCAGAGTCAAACCAGTGCTGGAAATAAACAAACAAGATTTGCCCTCAGTGCAAACAGCTTAGCCCAAAACGCTGTCAAAAATTTGAAACCAGTTTTTGTCAAGGAATCAAAGCCAGCTTCGAAAAAGTCTTTGTCAACTGCCAGTTTTTTCAAGGAGCCTCCAGCAGTTGATGATGTCTGGCAAATACGAACAAGTCCCAAAGATTCCTGCAAGGACTCCTATCCAGTTAGAGTACATTGTGGAATGTCAGATGGTAAACGTATGCAAAGCACAGCTATGCTAGTTGCTCTAGGTCCTCAAGCTAGCAAAATGTGCGTTCAGTGCTCAACTGGCAGAAGCTGCTTTAGAGATCACTCTACTCCTAGAACGCCACAAATTGTTTCGCAATTGAGTGCGTGCAGCAGTGTGGGATCCACGCCTCAGTCTGTAATGCCTAACGTTAACCACGTGACTATTAACACTCCGAAATCTACGCCTTCAAGGAAGACTTCACTTCTTTCAAGGCTCCGAAGAAGTCGAACCCCAGACCAGACGCCAAAAATGAAGAGTAAACGTTTCAGTCGTGATCAAAAAAACTCGAGCCGGTCAAGCCAGCCATCGCCTAGTCGAAAAAGTAAAATTAAGATTCCAGTTTTAGAAAATCTGCAAAACCGAACGCCTGAAAATAGTCCACCGCGAGGCCGAAAAGTTTCAATGCCGAAAGTCAGCATTAGCTCACAAAGCTCTTATGAGAGCAGTAACGAATGCGATTTTTCAGGGTTCCAAACTCACATGCCAAGATACGCTTTCTCGGATTCGGAAGAAATGTTCTGCTCTCAGAAATCCGACAGCAGTAGCATACCGTCTCAAAATGGATACCAACCAATGCAAGGATGCCACAACAGTATACCATCGTCGCATCAATCGTCGTTTGGGGAGATAACTGCGACTAAAACTTATCCCGACTTCAACAGAATAGTAGCCGATATCCAAAGAGACAGTTTGACTGTGCCTCAACTCGCTGGAAATACCCACCAATACGAAACTCTAGATCGAGTGAATAACTCTTCTCAGGCTAATCAATCAATAGCCTATCCTGACAAGCAGGTTTTGATCCAGAAATTTGCCGATGCTCGGGCAAGTAAATGTCACATTGCTACACATCCTTTGTACAGACTTAGTTCGTACACTGCTGATAGTGGTCTGGAAAGCATGAGTGGTGGAGGAGCTACGGGATCCCCGCGATGTCACCCGGATGTCATCGAGAGTCACTGTCCTCCCACTGGTCCATGCGGCCATCAGCACCGATCCAGGTGCCAATATGTTGCATCATGTTCCTGTCATAGTCAAAATTTAACACCTCAAAGTTCGGCCTCATACGAGACCACGCCAAACGAAGAACGAATGCTTTATCCAATCAGCTCTCAGCTGAGCAATATTAACAGTATCGAGACCTCCAAAACTAGTGACTTGAACTCTGTGCCTTGCTCGCCCTTTACATGTTCTAAAGATCTGAAAGGTCGACCTAAAAGGTCAAAGTCAGCCGACCGAAAATCCAGCGGCCGGAAATCAATTTTCGCCAGCATGTTCAGCCTCCGAAGTCGTAAAAGCAAAGCCGAAGCCAGTTCTGCTAGCCAATCATCTAGTTGCAAACGCGGTAATATTTTATCCGACAGCGCTCCTTCAGAGCGGAGAATTTCGATAATCAACCAGACACCTCAGATTAAACCGACGGCCGTGGTAGCGCGGGTTCCACCAGTGCAGAGACTTCAGCCCCCTGTCGTGTCCCCGGGTAGCGGAATCACAGTCACTACGGACTCAGACAGTGGAATTGAGTTGAACTCGAATGGACAACGGAGACACCAACGACAATGTCACGGAAACTCAGCTGAGGCTATGTGCAATTCAATACCTACAGTGTAAGTGTATCAATTATCTATTAGCGTTTTTGACAAAAGTTTCAAAAGAGATGCTACAGAATTTTTGTCAGCTTTTAATAAAATATTCATAAATCAAGCCTTAAATCAGTGATGAGGCATTTGTATTTATGCTGTTGCGAAAAATATTAAAATTATTTCTGCAAAAAAAATGAAACTAAAAATATTGAAAAAATGTGGTTTCAGAACTCCTCGATGCTGCAATGAAGCTGCAATAATGCCGAACTCGTCCTCCGATTGTTCACAAAATGGTCAAGTGAATCGCCGACCAGTTTCGAGTTCGGGGTCAGGCTCCAGGGGCAGACACACGCAGAGAGAACCCTGCTCAAATCCGGAGAGATGTAGAAATATCAAGAAGAAGCTGCTCTATGGTAGTTATTTTACACTAACAGATGAATAATATTTGAATTATCCAAGTTATGACCTATCCTATCAAAAGATCCCTTGAACGCCTTTCAGCATGGAGTATTAAAACATTACAGAAAACTTTCCCTATGTAGGTGTGGAAATCTCCTGAAAGTGACCTTTAAACTAAAAACTGGGCGCTAACTTTTGGCCTTTTTCGCTGTGCTTTTATTGCACTTTGCAACAGCGCCCCTTAATACTTATGGGCGTAATTTGCAACAGGCGTTGAAATAAATTGGGATGCTGTTAATGAAAAACCCACTCCCTCCTAATAACAAAAACTCTTCCCTTTATGATTATTTGTTAGTGATAGTGACGGTAGTTATGAGTAGTAATAATAGTGCAAGAGCAGTAGTACTAACCAGGCGTTTATTAAATGGGTGTGTCTCCTTGTAAACAGGTCCTTCGGTTGAGATCCACAACGCGGCAATCTCCGGAACGACGATCCAGACCTGTGCCAAATGCAATAACCTCAAAGAGTACTGGGTGGATAGTCCCTGCGAGCAAGAACCAACCAGACCAGCCCCTGCTTTCATCCCAGAGGTTAATATATACAACACCCAACCTTTTTCAATCGCCCTCCCCTCCCCTCCCCTCCCCCGCCCTTCCATCAGATACGGCTGTAAATGGGCTCTCGATTTTTCCTCATTAATATTCCAATTCTTATCACTTTCAAAGGCGATTATTAGCACTTGTATTCAAGTCTTTATCTTGAATGTTTTTTGAGTTCTGCGATAAACACTTTAATTTCTAAAATAAGGTCGGGTTATTTAGCGTTTTTCTATGATAAAGTTGATGATTTAGGTTGCAACATTATAATTTGAAGTTGAAAAAATCTTTTTCTAAAATTTTCCAATAAAATAAAACTCTTAGAAGTTGATACGGGTCGCTCAAAAACAACACTGAAGAAATACTTCATTCTCATGCTATTGAAAATTTTGTAGGATAAATCTGATGTCCAAACTGATGTTTATAATTAGGAGGAGGTGGACTTGATTCTTGAAAAGTTGGGTCCAAACCAGGTATTTCTACTCGTAAAATATCACGTGTCACGTGACACTTACTCTGACTGAACAATCTATCAGCTTCAGAATCTTAATGCTCATCTGATATTATCTTAATTCACATCATGGAGCAAAATATATTTCTGTCTGTGACCTGCTTTCAACTATTTAAAAAATCACGTAACTCCTGATTAACATTCATCGCTGAATTTTCCTCAACTGAAAAACTCTCTTTGTACTACCCTGACTCTAATTATTAATTTTCATCTACTGACCAACGAATACTTCGATGCAGTTTCATTTCGAACTTTGACAAATGTTCATAACTCGAGGGGGAATATTTTGGTGGGAAAGTATAAACGATGAAATATTTTTTAGATGAGCCAGGATGTAACTGCCACAGAATTCGACATCAGTACAGCTTACACGCACAACAGTCAGCGGGAATCGATCGCCGGCCGAGGAACCCCCGAAAGCACCTCGGACACACCACCGGTAGCCCTTCCAGACCCAAACCTGCACCAAAGTCTGGACAAAACATCTGGAACTACGACATCTGGGATCATCAAAGAGACATCAGCAACCGGTGTCAGCAGCAGAACAAGCGTGCAACCGGAACACAACGTCGCACACGGGGACTCACGTGTGCGTTGCCGTCCTTCATGTCCGTCGCCTCAATTGCCACCCCCGGATATCCATGCATGTGTCCACAATTGTCAAGGTCGAAATCAGTTCACGTCGGACACAAAGGACAAGGCTGGACAAGGGTGCGACAACAACGCGACTCAACATGATCTTGCCTCTGACTGTAACAGTTTCGAAAGAAAAGCTGGACAAAATTGTGACAACGACGACAAAATTTATTTTGAAAGAGAGCAATTCAAACGTGAGTCACAAGAAACTTTTGTTGAACATGAATTTTTTTTGAAAATAGAAAAAAATTGAGGCAAAATCAATAAATTGATTCAAAAATTTACGATGAGATTGTATTACTAAGAAAACATCAAATTTCAATACTTTCAAAACGATAGACTTAATACAGTTTTTTCTTTCAGATGATAACCCGAGGCTAGCCGACGTTGATTTGTTGCAGTTTGATTGGCCAGTTCCGAAGAATACGAGACGACTGGGATCGGCTGTATAATGATAAAAACTTTGCTTCAATAAACAAAACTCAATATATTTTACTTCTCTTCGCAACTTTTAGTTGAGCACAATAATTGAATTCAATTTTTCTATTTAAAGTCCCGTGTCTGTACAAAACAATCCTATACAAAACAGTCCGGAAAAGTATGAAAATGCCAACAGAGGGTAGGACTTAATACAAAATTTAGAGCTGGTTATCGCCGCAAAGCGGCGACGCGTGCACAGCACGCCCACCGGCGACCTTAAACCGGACTGTTTTGTATCGGATTGGTTTGCATGTGCACCTTAAATTCAAATGTATAAGATTAATGAACGTAGTGAAGACTCTTATATAGGTCTTGTTTTTTTTGTTTTTTTTTCTTTTTTTCAGGAAAAAGTTTTAAAAAGCTCCAATAACTAGAGATGGGCATCATACATATTTAATATGAAAATTTTAATACGAAAAATATGTCAACCTTTTTTTTTGGTTTTTTGACCAATTTGTTTTTTTTGCGCTCTCCCCTTCAAAATTAGTATATAGATGATATAGATGACTCTTTAATAACAATTTTAGCTTTGGTCGTCAAAAATTGAAGTCATAAAACAAATTTTATGATGCTGTCATCAGAAAATCAGGCAATTATTTTACTGACCAGAAAAGTATAGGGACTGTTACGCATACATTCGAGTTTGATAAATATTGAAAACATTTGCATAAGAAAGTGAAAAATTTCTTGCTCTTCAAATAATAGTTTTGAGACAATAAATGATTTTTTTTTATTATAATTGGAGATAAAATGCAGTGAATTGTTGCGAGACTTGATTTTATCTCATTTTTCATCGAGACATCGTATTTAACTTAAATGGCACGACAGCATCCAAATATCGCAGAGAACTATCAACAGTCTGCCAATCATTTTTCATCAAATTTTGAAAACAAATTATTGGCTCGGTTTCCCCCTTTGTAACTCTTAACCCCATACCACAAAAACATTTTAGCCTCATACAATCTCTACTTTTTTTGATGCTTTAGCAATTAAACATCACTACAGTTTAAAACCATTTCTATAATTTAAAACCATCTTACTTCAAAAGGAAAAATAATCTAATTTCAGAGGGGAATTTGCGCAATTTTTGAAGAGAAATGGCCGTGTCAGTAATTTGGATTGCTTAAACGATTTGAGCCACAAAGAAAAAATCGTTCAATAAACTTCAACAGGCCTGCAAAAGTTTAGATGGTCCTTCACTAAAATTGCCTGATTTTCTGAATATTTTCAGCCGGAACAGTAAAGAAAAAAGTTAAATCAATGACAAAAAGCTAAAAATCCTTCAAGTTTTGAATCATATTCTCGAACTTAAACCTGTAACCTGATCGCTTTCTTCAGCTTGTTTGAAAAAATTGGCAGATAAAGCAACGCTAAAGGATTTGGCAGCCCCTAGTCCTAAACTAGCTCACCAAAAACCAGGACGATTGACCTGGATTTTAATTGCTAGTGCACGAGTCAAGTTTTTAGGTTTAATTACATGTTCTGGGAGTCTGCAGTGGAACGTTTTTTCAAAAAAGCTGACAAAAATTTATATAGGGCTTAAAACTAAATTTTGATTGTACGATTGATTATTCAAAATTGAGACAAATTTTACACTGTCTTAATACAAACAAGATAACGCTCTGTAACAATTTACATCCGTTTTGTTTTGGTTAAGACACATAAAGTTTTGCACTCTCACATTTGATACACATATTTTTTCTGTTTGTTAACTTATGGCTACTCGATGCATCTCGGTTTTTGGTCACTCGGTTTTTGTACGGAAGCGTTTTTTTGCAGGCCGCTCACTACTTTTCACATATTTGAGTGGGTTCCGCTGAAAAATCAATCTTCGACAGCATATTTCGTTCAGCAATCTAACCCACGGCCGCATTTTGCTGGTTCCAAAAGGAGGGTGGGAAAAAACTTCATGCTTTGGCACCAAGATTTTTATATAGGTAGAGCCAAAGTACAGACACAATTTGTCTTTTTTTGATTTTTTTCGGGTTCTAAAGTCGCATGTATTTGACTGTCGGGATCGATCAAATCTCAGGCCTCGCAGATCTTTTCTTGATTTCCAATTACCAGGGAATGCAGCATTTTAAGGCCAGCGCAAAATCGATCACTTTCAGACCCTATTTTTAGAATTTTTACATCTATTTCTGAGATATGTAATATAAATCTAATCTCTGAGAATGAAAAAAAAACCCAATAAATTTGCTCCGGGGTTTTGTTTTTTGAACGACTGAAAACGGCTTGCTCAAAAAGTCAAACAAATTTGTCAGGATGGCAGTTGAGTGCTAAGACAATTAAAACCTGCAAAAACCTTTTTTGGGGGGGGGGGGAGAGAAAGCGTATATGATAGCCATTGCAATACCAGATACACTAAAATAAATTGAATCTTCCTGATTTTATGAATAATTTTTTAAAAATTTCATCGGCTAACTCAAAAGATGAGTTTTTATAAAACTGTCAGCATTTTCTGGTCATCGCGCAAAAATGATTCGCTCGTGATCATTTGATTTACTGTCATACGGTATAAAAATTCGCAAAATTTCAGGGATCTTGAAATTTGCGCCGGGGAAATGCGTGGTTTATTTACATCTACCTTTTTAAAAGTGCGCGCAGCCATTTGAATCAGTCTTTCTTTATTTTGGGAGGACATTTATGTGTATGGTGAGCATTTCCAGTTTTCGGTAATTTTGTCTTTTTGATTCAAGTAATGTTCGTGGCCGGACGCTATAAGAATTGGCTGTGTTTAATTGAAATTGTGTATCGAAAAAAAACTCAATCATGTTTTGTTTTTGATGTTTGCGTTTGCTATCATTTGATTACAACTTAAAATGACAGTCAGAAATAACTATTTGTCATGGTTTAGTGAAACATCTATTTGTCGATAAGAGCCTTTAATTTAGGAAGTCTCTTTTTAGCATGTATAACTGAAATAAACCAAGTTTTTTAATTTCATGCGAGCGTTAATTGCAGGTTTTTTTCTGGTCTGATAGGACTTAAGGTAAGGAGTGCGTGCAGCATTAGTTTTGGTGTTACTTTATAAAATAGGAGGTAAATTGTTGTTGACTTAAATTGTTTAGTAGTGAAATGTTCAATTAATAAAATGTACGGCGTTAAATTGGCTCGTTTTAACTTGTAGGACACTGTTGGCTTAATATTAAACCATAGACAAAAAGTCATTTTTCTGCCATATGAATTTCAATTAACAAAATTACTTGAACCGGAATCTGATGGTAATACTTTCATTCCTTTCATCTCGAGAAACGTGGTTCGAATCCAAGGCTAACCTCCAAACATTGCGCATCTGGAATTAAACACACCTGAAATTAGTCGCCAACTTGCAACAAAAAATTAAACTGAAAAAATGCGCTAAATTTTTGTACAATGGCTGAAGTTTCCGCAGCACTCTATGTTAGTTTCACTTAAAACTAGGAAGTTTATATAAAGTGTTTTTTCCTTTTGATCCATCTAAATAGTTTCACCAGCTTTTTAAAACAATTTCAGCCCGTGTCTCAGCTAATATCATTAAAAGTGACGAAGACGTGAAAACTTAAATTCGTCAAAAAATATGCACAAAAAAACTGTCGGAAATATAAACAATTGTTTAGGTGAAAGCAAATATCGATTAAAAAGTTTTCGTTATTTTTTCAATTAATCCCTCTACACACAACTTTACACGAAAATTGAGGAAATTTGTTCACTCTCTCATGTTTCCTATCAAAAAAGGTTCTTCAATGCAACTTTAAATGATATATGAGTTCAATAAAGTTTCCTTGGAAGAACAAAACCCGATTAAAAGCAAGGATAGCCGGATGTTGTGCACTTAGCACAGAAAGTTCATTTTTTTTATATTGAGTTCATTTTTATTCGTGTTGTCATGATCTGATCTGACCAATGAGAACGAAAGACTAAGCTTTTTCTGATCGATGAGAAGATCTGATTGAAAAACAAAGTTTCATTTAAAAATGATATTAAAGTAGTCATTTCTGACAAAAGTTTTGTGACACATGAATAGAAAAAAAAAACAAAAAACAAATGAAAAAACTCAAAAAACGGTTGTAAAATTTTTCATATTTTCATACAGAAAATTTGATCGAATATCAAAACAAAAAAATGTTGAGTTACAAGCTTTTATGAAACTGTTCGCCAGCTTTATTCGCTCCGAGTTACTCTAACCAATAAATGTTTTCAAAAAATATGCCAAAAAACTGGCGGAAATATACACAATTGTTTAGATGAAAGCAAATATCGATTAAAAAGTTTTCGTTTTTTTTCAATTAATCCCTCTACACACAACTTTACACGCAAATTGATAAAATTTGTTCACTCTCTCATGTTTCCTATCAAAAAACTTTTTTCAATGCAACTTTAAAAGATATGTGAGTTCAATAAAGTTTCCTTGGAAGAACAAAACCCGATTAAAAGCAAGGATAGCCGGATGTTGTGCACTTAGCACAGGAAGTTCATTTTTTTATATGGAGTTCATTTTTATTCGTGTTGCCATGATCTGATCTGACCAATGAGAACGAAAGACTAAGCTTTTTCTGATCGATGAGAAGATCTGATTGAAAAACAAAAACTTCCTTTAAAAATGATAGTAAAGTAGTCATTTCTGACAAAAGTTTTGTGACACATGAATAAAAAAAAGACAAATGAAAAAACTCAAAAAACGGTTATAAAATTTTTCATATTTTCATGCAGAAATTTTTATCGAATATCAAAACGAAAAAAAATTGTAATTTCTGTTTGAA